TACCAATAAACTTAACGGGGGAAAAATGCATGGGAGGAAGTGAATAAGATGCGTGTTCCTCATTCCACTTGCAGCCCTGACTCATCTGCGGGAGGAGGTGAGTTAGGCCTGGCCCTGGTGATCTACAGCGCAGTGCTTCCGGCATCTAAAAAGAAAACTTATCTAAAAAGACTTTCTACACCGAGAGTTCTAAGTAGCCATGTGGCTGTATTAGTTGGATAGTTCAGGCAGGCCACTCTGCGAAGGTGACATTCGATCTGAAACGTAATGAGGAGGATGAACTAGCCATGTGTCATGGTTCACATCTGGGATGTCTCCCAAGAGTCTCATATGCTCACAGTGGAGCTGGTGGAAGGTGGGGCTTGGCTGGAAGAGGTGTGTCACCAGGAGTGTTCCTGGAAGGTTGTATCTCCTTTCCCCACTCCTTGCTTTGTACTTTCTTTCTGGATGGCATGATGTGAGCATCTTTTCTCTGCCATGTTCCTCTGTCATACTGTTTCGTCTTTGGAGCTGGCTGATCTTGGACTGAAACCTGAGCCAAAATAAACCGGTCCTTGTTTAAACTGTGGATATTGAATATTTTGTTCCAGGGACAGCAAAGTGTCTAGAAGAAGCCAGATGTGGTGCCATATGCCTGTAATTCCACCACTTGGAAGGCTGAGGCAAGAGGGTAACCATGGGTTCAAGGCTAGCTGGATCTACATAGTGAGACCCTGTCTCAAAAAAAAAAAAAAAAAAAAGAGAGAGAGAGACTAGGACAGATTTTGGTACCAGAAGTAGGGTCGTTACTGTGCTGCTACTTGACCATGTGGTTTAAATGTCTGTTAAATCGGTTCCTGAGGAGTTTGGAAAGATCTAGCAATACCTACTGGAGAAGCAGCCCTAGAATACTAGAAGCTGAGTTTTTGGGGGAATTTGTTAGAGCTCAGAAGAGCAAAATGCTGATAAAAAAGGCAGCAAAGACTACGCTTAGGAGGTTTCCGTTGGGAACAAGGACTCTGTTGGCAGTGAGATTTCAGGCCATGTGTGTTATGCTCTGTCAGAACATTTGTCTGGATTTTTTTATTCATGTCCTGAGACTTTGTGGGAGTCTGAGATTAAGGGCAGTAGCCTAATTAATTTGGTGGAAAAAATTTCAAGACAGCCCATTGTTGACATTGTGGCAGTGGTACTTCTGGGGGCTTTTAGCCAGGCTTATATTGAAAATCAGGAGCAAAAAGCCCATTTTCAAAGTTTTCAGTTTCCAGAAAGGAAGGGCCAGCAAAATTAGAGCTGAGGAGAGCATTGTTGTTGAAAAGATTAGCATTAAAAAAAGCCTAGGACTTTACAATAGGACAATAGGAAGGATGCTTTGAGGGCATCCCAGAAAACAGCCAGACTGCCCTTTGCCCTCAGAGTGGAAGAGTTTGCTTTGAGAAGAGAGCCCTACTCTAGAGTTGGTTACCTGGCCACTGCTTGAGTTGGGGGCAGACATCAGTGTCCTCCATGTGATGCTGGTTTTATAGGCAAGCAGAATGCAGAGTTGTGAACTCAGGGAGGCTTCCACCCAGATTTTAGAAGAAAGTCTGGGGTGCCAGTCAGTGTACACTTGAGAGAGACCTGCAAAAAGCTGTGAATGTGAAGCTGAAAGTATAGCAGAGACCCCAGAAAGTTGGGAGAAGCCAGGAATGTGTGATATCTGAGGAAAGCCACAAGGAATGAGCAAAGCCAGCCCAAGAGAAGCAAGGAGGGCTACAGTCAACAGCAGTACCTGTAGGGGTGGGGCTGAGGACCTTTGGAATTCACGTCTCGCTGTAGCTTGCTCTGGGGACTGGACATGGAGCGCAGGATTTAATGTTTGTCCTGCTGGGTTTCAGTCTTGCTTTGGTCCCACTCATTTCTACCCCCCTTTCTCCCTTTTCCATGTTGGCAGTGTTTAAGTGTCTTTTTGATTTTTTTTTTTTTTTTTTTTGGTACCGGGGATTGAACTTGGGTCCTTGCACTTGGGTGAGACAGGTGGCAGAACCACTAAGCTAAATTCCCAGCCCTGTCTTTTTGATTTTTATAGGGGCTCACAACTAAGAGTTTGCTTGTATCTCAGAGGAGATGTTGGACTTTTCAGCAGTGTTGGAACTGTTTGGAGTTGGGGACCTCTTAGAGATGAACTGAATGTATTTTGCATAAAGTGATTCCCAAGAGTCTTGGAGGCCAGGGGTAGAATGTTATGGCTTACATCTAGGATGTTCCCCAGGAGCCTCCTGTGTAAAGTGGGGCCTGGTTGGAGGAGGCAGGTCACAAAGTGTGACCTGGAAGGGTGTTTCTGGCTTCTCCCCTCCTCGCTTTGCTCTCTGCTTCTTGGCTGCCCAGACTTGAGCTGTTTCTTCTTTGGAGCCAGCTAACCTTGATCTGAAATGTGAGCCAAAATAAATCTCTCTTTAGGTTGTGAGTTGTTGTGAGCAACAAAAAGTGACCAGGAAAATTGGTCAAGACACCATGCTATAATGGGGTGCTGGTGTGGTGGGGAGAGATTGGGAGAGGGACCTTTAGACCAAGAAGGAAGAGCTTGTGCAAAGGCCCTGATTCAGCAATGAGTTTGGGATGTGGGAAACAGCATAGCAAGGTCCAATATGGTTAGAGCATTGTGAATCAGACTGAGAGATCCCAGAGGACAGATCGGATGGCCAGGGTTTAGATTTTATCTTAAATGTGATAAGAAGCTGTTGGAGTGTTTTAAGGAAGATGCCAAGATGTGCGAGTGTGATTTTGAAATACTCACTTGGAGAGTATACACAGAATGGGTTATGGGGACTGTGGTTCAGGTAGAGATGATGGAGGTGTGGACTGAGCCTGTGCTGGAGCTGGAGAGAAGTGGGAAACTGGGAGAGAAAAGCCTGGCACTTTGCTTCCTGGTGCCCTTTTCCTAGCACGCTGTCTTCAGGCATTTGGCAAGACTCTGGGAAGTGTCTCAAGGCTTCGCCAGCTCAGGACTGGGCAGAAGAGCGACTTGGCCTGCTTCCGCTGAGCCTGTCAGTGTGGAGGTGAGGCTGCGGCCAGCCCTTCTCAGATGCCTTTGTGGCCTCTTGACCGCTTAGGTCATGTCTAGTTCTTACTCTAGTCCTCGTCTGGGTTCCACACTAAGTGTGTCCATCTGATGGCAGTTCCACCTCCTTTGTGGTGACACTTCTTCTGCCTTCGTGATGGGGACTCCTAGGGAAGCCCCGTGGGGCTCCTGTCCCTCTCCCAGGCCTTCCCAGGTGACCATCGTGCATCTTCTCTGCCCCAGGAGCAGGCCCACGCCCGCTGCCAGCGGGACTTCCTTACCATGTAACTCCCCAGTGTGCACCGCAGTTAGTGTGGTAACCTAGTGGCTCCAGGCCCTAAGATGCTTTCTTTGCTTACTTTCAGGAAGAAGTGATTTGTAATCTCTCTTGCTTTGCACGCGCCCAATACTTTCGGGTTTCTGGTGAAGTTTTAAAAATTAGCCCACTGTCCACAACAGTGGGGCACTCTTGTTCCCATTATTTTCTTTTAATTCTTATTTGTTTGCTTCTTTGAGACAGGGTCCTGCTTTATGTTTCAGGCTGGCTTTGAACTCACTGTCGCAACCTGGCCTCAAATTTGAGGCTATTCTCCTGCCTCAGCCTCCCAAGTGCTGGGATTACAGGCATGCACCACCATGCCCAGTGATCTTTGAGTGAACAAGGATTCTGCAGTTTATGACTGATGGTATTGGCCATTTCTTTCTATTTCTTAGTGCCGTGTATGAATGTTTGCTATGTTTTGGGGTAAAACATCTGCCTGCTGTTGCATTTAGCAGTTGGAAATAACCTGTTTTGAAGAGGAGGAACTGAGGCTGAGTGATGTGGCCCTGGGTGCAGGCCACACAGCAGGGCCCAGGCTGGAGGGCAGGTGTGGCTGTGGCTCTCACCGCTGGGCCTTCCGGCTCCTCTCCAGAAGGGGCCCATGGCTGACCTGAGGCGATGGTGATGGGGTGAATTGAGTGATTGTCCCCCACATCTCAGGAGTGGACATGGGTGTCCCCCCATCATGTCCCCAAAATGCCCCGGGTTCTGACAGGCACCCCTTGTCCTCCCTGAGCATCGTTAACCTTGCTGGGTGCTTTGGCTTGGAAGAAAGCTGCTAATAGTTGAAGGAGGAGCTGCTTTGGATCCAGCAGAACTGGCAGCAAGCAGCTCCTGGCCCATGACAGCCTGTCACCGGGCAGGTCCCTTCAAGATGATCTCTTTGAACCTCAGTTTTGTCCCTTTCTGTCAGTCTTATCCGGGACAGTCACTGTGAGAATGAGATAATGTGTCTTGTGGGGCAGCCTGGCATAGGGATTCGGTTTTGAGGCTGTGGAGCTGCCTCTGCACTGACCTTGGGGAAGTTCCTTCAGCTGTCTGTGCTTCTGGCTGTTAGTGGAAGTTGTATGCAGTGGCCTCATGTCCCTCACCCGAGCAGGAGAACCTCTCCTTTCTTCTGTCCCTAACTCTGTCCTCTCACTTCTCAATGGGAAGGACCTGGTTTTGGACATGGGTGGAGGAAGTGCTTCTGCTCATTCCCTGACAGGAAGGGCCAGGGCCTGTGGGAGAGAGACTGCCTTAGAGGGGATGCAAACAGGAAGTTCAGAAACAAGCTAATGTCTAGAGACAAGTCAGAGAATGACTGGTGCTTAAAACAGAAATTCAGCTTTACTTTTCAGAAAAGTAACAGATGCCTAAATGTCAGAGACAGGAGGGAGGTGGCTACTGGTTGGTTGTTTTTGTAAGGTCTTATTGCGGAAAGAGCCATTTTTATCCATGTCTCTGTGCTTGCTTTGCTCTCCAGATGAGGCAAAAGGAATGACACTTCTAGCCCTTAATTAATTCGTCTTCTGAAGTTTCCACTATTTTTTTTTTAATACTCAGCTTGCCTTTTTAGCGTGCTGTAGGCTTCCTGGGAGAAAGTGCCAAGTGGGCCTAGGTGTGGAAAGCGGCAGCACACCACTGTTTGAGACCCAGCTTGTTGTCTTTGTTTTCCAGAGTGAATATATTGCTCCATGTGACTGTCGGAGAGCCTTTGTCTCTGGATTCGACGGCTCTGCAGGTGAGCTGCTAAATTCTCTCTTTTCTTGTGGTACCTTTGTTCTCCTCCCCCAATAACTGAACCAAGTTTTAGCCTGTGGTATAGAATCAGTTAGGAAACGCAAACCAGATGTTCCCTGTTGAGCCCCTGCAGGAAGGTGTGTGTTCCCAAACTTTCCCAGCTCATCGGTTACCTTCAGTGACCCGGTGCACTTTTCTATGCCTTTGCTTTCACGATTTAAAATTTTTTGTTTAAAAATTTTTTTTGAAATTTTTATTGAATGTGACATTCATATAGAAAAAAAGTCTTAAGCTGAATATGCTTGTGTAATTAGCATGCCAAGTAAGAAATGACTCTAACAGCATTCCCAGACCCTGCCGTAGTTTACTGGTTCTGTGTGATTCCCCATGTGCTTGGATTTGGTTTCTGTTTTTACTGTTGACCTAAATAGCAAAGGATAATGTGAGTTCCATTGGTATCCTTAATTTTGCCATAACTTTTCTCCTTCTTAACTCCCAAGTTTTTGGTGGTTTTGTCTTCAGGTCCCCACCCCCTAAGCACTCTGGACAAAGTGGGAGCCCCCTCCCCTTGTGGTGAGCACATTGCTTCTTTGGGTGATGTGCTTGTGTTGGTTGGTGTATCAGGGTTGGTTTTGGCTGATGCTTCTGCTGAAGTCCTGAGATCTGCCAGGCCTGTAGGAATGGGAGGCAGGTGGATGTGGAGGCCCAAGCTAAGTCCCTGTGAACACTCTCAAGACCCAGTTGGCCTCCAGGAAAGGTGAAACAGCTTCTTTGGGTGTCTGGTGGAGCAGAGGAATGGTAGGCACCATTCCTGCTTCTGTCTTGTGGGTGCTGAGGCCGCGTGGACCACGGACACGTAGTCCCCTGCTCTTCTGGCTTTGCCTCGTGCTGCACGAGTGGGGAATTTCTGTGCAGAGACTGGTGTCCAGGCAGCCTGGCCCCTCACCTCACTGCTGCTTCTTAGAGCTGGAGTTGCTGGTTCTCAGTGGTGTCATTCTGTCACCTAGAGGCTTCCCTGGAGTGGAGGAGCCATCTGCTCCAGTGGGAGCTGGTGCTTCTCATGCTTTTGTCACCTGCCTTTTTGTGCTGCTGCTGGGTGGTGGACAGAAACCTTTCTTTTCTTGCTCTTCTGCTCCAGGTACAGCAATCATCACAGAAGAGCATGCGGCCATGTGGACTGATGGGCGCTACTTTCTTCAGGCTGCCAAGCAGATGGACAGCAACTGGACACTCATGAAGATGGGTGGGTAGAGTTGTGGCCAGCCCACATTAGTTGGCCTGATTAGGGCAGGAATCATGGAGTTCCTCAGGGCTTTTGGATCTTAACCATTTTGTGATATTGTGGATTTTCTTAATCCAAGGAAAAACAAGAAATGGGCATGCTTCTCTAGACATTCAATTTTGGAGGGTCTTGGCTCAGGATACTAATTTTACAGAGGGAAAACTGAGGGTTTCTGTCTCTGGGGCCCTAGGACTTGAGTACTCTGGCATCAGTTAAAGTAGGGACGTGACAGCTCCAGGCTGGCGTGAGTCAGTCTTCCTTCCTTCCCCTTTCTAGTTTATGTTTGTCCATCAACCTACCTTTCCTCAGGTCCCCCCCGCCCCGCCGTGCAGTGAAATTCTGGTGGGTTCCAGAGTTTTGCTAAAAAACCTACCTGCTAAGAAATGGTGTAACTTTGTCTTGCCAAAGTTATATTAGGGTCTCTAAGAGAAACTTCCTCAGTAAAGTAGCTTGTTTGGTGGTTTATTTGGGAAAACAAGGGAAAGAATTAAATAACAAAATAAGAATCCAGGCTAGCCTCCAGGCATTTCTTTGGAATCAGGATTCATGAGTTCATTTCTTTATGAACCTTTTAACTTCTCTTCTGTGGTTATGTGGTTATACTGGTAGTCAGTAGAGAAAATAGTAAGTACTGCTGCAGACTATGTGAGCTTTTACTATAAATGTGCATGTATCTTGTCAGAATGTATATTGCTTAGTGAAAATGTCATTGATCAAAAAAAGTGTATATCCCACAGATTCTGGCTCGACAGAGAAGATACTAACTTGCTTAAAGAAAAACTGGACTGTAAAAATAACAGTCATTCCCTTTTTTTTTTTCCTTTTTATTGAGTTTATTGGTACAATCTAGGTATACAATACAGTTACATTCATCATTGGGATTCTGTACCTTTACATAATAGGTCTTGATTCTCATTTTTTTCCCCTTGTCCCTGTCCTCCCTTCACCCCCTCCTCCCCTCCCCATTTACAAACACTTTATTTCCATTTTTTCAGTTTCTCATATTTTTTTCCTCTCCCTTATTACCTTTTCCCCACCCTTCCCACTTTCCCTACACCTTTAGCCCTTTACTTCCTATTTCACATTATTAATTATCTCATTAGGATCCTGTGTACTATTATAGTTTTTCACACCAAAGAAACCATTCGGTATTTCAGTTAAAGAAATCTCTGTATGAACATTAAAAATAGGGAATCCTAAAATAAAACTAAAGGAAAGTAAAAGAGAAAAGGCAGTGATGTAACATTAAAATAATTCTTAATTCTGGAGATGAAAATGGTCCCTGAACCTATTTAAATTGCTTCTTGCTCTTATAGTCTTATCTTATTCTTTTTTTCATTATTTAGAGAATACTTTATTAATTTCTGTAATCAAACCCACATAGATATGATCTTACATATTTAGTACGATGTGTTACCCCTGTATACATGGGAAAAAAAAATTAACATTTCTAGACCACTATGGCTGTCCATTTCTGTACAATGCCAACTCAACACAGTAAATTGGGATGACTTTTTGCAAAGTTGGCAGCACCGTTAAAGTTTCCCAAAATTCAATTTATATGTGTGTGTGTGTATATATATAAAAAGCCTGATAATAGCAGTATGTTATGCATCAATAGCAGCAACAGCTTTTCCAGGTTCTGCAGTCATCTGAACAAAATTATAGACATTCAGCACATTCCATTAAAAAAAACAAAACAAAACAAAAAGAAACAAAGAAAAGAATAATATCCAGAAAACAGCAAAGTTCTGTTGCTGTTGTGGTACCTGGCACCATTTTTTTTATTAGCATCTTATTTTATTTTATTAGCATCATCATCTGGAAAGAGAACATTCCATAGTAATATCATTAAATGTAGCTCTGATAAAGCACGGTCCCTACTATGTATCATAAAGCAGGTACTAGATATTTTACATTCATAGAGGTATGATACAGTACCGTCCTACATCAATAATACTAGAATCAGTTTTGGTTTGAAATTTACTTTGTCTGCAAATAAGATTGCTACCCCTGTTTTTTTCTGGGCTCCTGTCACATGGAGAATTGTTTTCTATCTTTTCACTTTCAGTCTATGGGCTTCTTTTTGCACTAGGTGTGTTTCTTGTATACAACATATTGTTGGATTTTGCTTCTTATTCCATTTTGCCAGTCTATTTCTCTTGATTGGTGAGTTGAGGCCATTGACATTGCTGGTTATAACTGATATGTACTGACTTATTATTGACATGTTATTGGCCTTTTGTTGACTCTTTTTACTTTTTCACCTTCTCCTTTTAATTTCTTGCCTTGCCTATTTGATTTGCTCTGTTGGGCCTCATGGTGTTGTTGCCTTCATTGTCTTTTTCTAGGATCTTGTTTAGAATTGCTTGTAGTGCTGGTTTGGTATTCATGTAGTTTCTCAGGTGTTCTTTGTCGTGGAAGTGTCTTATTTCCCCATCCATTTTGAAAGAGAGTTTTGCAGGATACATCAGTCTAGGTTGGAGGTTGTTCTCTTTTAGTACTTGAAATATCTCATTCCAGGCTCTCCTTGCCCCAAGGGTTTGTGTTGAAAAGTCTGCTTTGATTCTGATGGGCTTTCCTTTATATGTGATTTGTTTCTTTTCTCTTACTGCTTGTAGTATTTTGTTCTTCTGTTGGGTTTCTGGGATCTTGATTATTATATGTCTAGATTTTTTTTTGATTGTAGCTATTTGGGGTCCTATATGCCTCAGTTATCTGAATGTCTAATTCTTCCCCTCTGTTTGGGAAGTTTTTGTCATTAATTCTGCAAACAGCTTTTTTAAGTCATTTGTATTTTCTCCTGCTACTTCATGGATTCCTATCAGTCTTATGTTATTCTTCTTTGCATCATGTAGGAGTTGTTGGATCGATTTCTCATGATCCCTTACTGTTTTTAAGAGACCTCTCTTTTCATGGTCACTGACTGAAATCTTATCTTCTATATCTGAGAGTCTATCTTTGCATTCTTTTATTCTGTTGGCGTACACTTTCTATAGAGTGTTTAGTCTCCTGGATATCTGTTTGAATCTGTTTTATGGATTCCATTTCTTTCCTATGTTGGGTGTTTATTTTTTCCATTTCTTTCTTATGCTGGGCCTTCATGGCTTCTATCATGGTCCTGAGCTCATCTATTTTTTTGTCAGTTTCTGCTCTAGAGTCTTGAATCACGACTTCCATTTTGCTCACTATCTCTATGGTTATCTGGGAAATTATTTCTGTTTTGAATTTTTCTAGAGCCTGATTGATCTGTTTTGTTACTTCCTGTGCTTTGAGTTCAGGGTGTCCTGGTGGTTCTCTATCGGCCTTTTCATCCTCATTTGCCCTACTGTTTGCCATTGGTGAACTGGAAGTCTGTCCTTGTGTCTTGCTTTAGTGTTTTCTCATTTTTATTTTTGTTGTTAGACTGTCCTTGGTTTAATCTCTGGATTATCACCCAAATCTTCCTGATATAGTTGCGCCCTAGCTTCTGTGTCTCTAATGACCCACAGACATTCTCATCTTCATAACATCAGAGAAACAGCTCATCAAATCAACCGCAATGCTTTACCCCAACTGATACAATCAGCAACACAGTAAGATCAAGCACAACTTGGACACTGACC